GCACCATCTACTGTCCTGTCATGGCTCTTTTAAAAGGCTTAGTTAATCTTCAATACTTAAAGGATGGTGGAAATATCTGAGGGACAAAGTCCCCTGGTTTATATGGTGTGATTCCCTTGCCACATATGTCTTTATTGGGAAATTACATGAATTTCCCAAATACTGGCACTAAATTTTTTACTAGTTTAAAAAATAGCAGAAAAGGCCCAGTTGCCAAGAAATAAAGCACACAAATTTACTGAAAGGCAAAGCTGCACTAACCCATTAATTTTTATATTTTGTTATATGACCAAAACTGTTCTCATTACTTTCTTCTGAACAAGTTTCATAATTGCAAATTCTCAGACAATAAAACTTAAGTGATCTCCACACTCTGTTTTCCTCCTAAATAATGAGCCAACCACCACAGGCACACACAGGAGGAAGAAGCCTGTCTATTTTACTAKAAGACTCAGCTCATGAAAATCCAACTGCATCAATCCTTCTTTTATTATTCTTTCAAACTTCCCAAATCAAATAACTTTCTTGAGCTTGGCTAGAGCCTTCTGAATAGAAATTCCACWGGGGAAAGAGGTTTTAGATTAACAGCACAATACATTCAGAAATCAATAGATAAACCCTCAGTGCAGCAGCACTACCCGAGTCCATGAGACTGAACTAGGGCTCAGAAAATAAAACAAACCACTCAGAAACTAATTTCCTAATCTGCCCATTTTTGTTTTTGCACTGAAACCAGCAACATGAACTTCACCTCTGTATCACACCCGGAGAATTACTGCCTAATGTTCTGAATCAAGAATACTTTTTATTTGCAAAAATATATTCATTGTTTGTATTTAAACCAGAGGGTTTTGTTTGGTCGTGCTTTTCTTTTTATTTTTAAACTACAGAGATAAAGCTGGAAGGCAATGATGCAAGTTCAAGATAACCACACATGGGGGTGCCCATCCTGATACAATGAAAGCCCCTTAAATCTATAAAACAATGTGATTAGAAGTCGGGTGAGGGATAAGGGATGGAGTGAAGCTTCTAAACTTACAGAGAAAATTCCTTAARCCTSGTCTCRACTYCACTCCAACACCTGGCCTGGATGGKATCAGCTTGGATTGTTCTCTATGCTGGAAGCAGGATGGCTTTTCCTTGATCTGTTTGACCTTTTCTCTCCTCATTAACAGTTGTTTTCTCCATTTGCCAGAGTCCCTTTTGCAATCCTGAGGACTGGAGGGGAAAGGGTAAATCAGAGCAACAGCTCTGCTTGGCCAAAGGCAGTGGGACCAATTTCACAGCGAGCTGCAGTCGTGAACTCAACTGCAGAGCACAGAGCTGGCTCTGCCTTGGAAATGCACAAAGCCAGGAGCTGCCAGAGAACAGAAAACATGCTTYTGCCTCTGCCATGAGGCTGTTCCAGCAGTCACAGACATCCCAGCTCTGCAGGATGGGAACGGGGCACAGCATCTCCCCGCTGTACCCCCTYGGTTCAACCCCAAACCTGCTCAGATTAGAGCAGACACAAAGGGAAATGGATTTCCCAACATTTTGGTAAGCTGGAACAGCTCTGATGGCACAAGCCCCCAGCCTCRCTGGTGCTCCTGTTGTGTTCTATTCATTAAATCCCACATTTGTTATTTATTATCCTGCATTTCTGTAAGGCAAACCTAAAGAAACGTTGCCATGACAAACACACACAGCAGAGTTTTCATACGAGCCTGATCCCCATGATGTCTCTTCCTTCCATTAACACAGCCCCACTTTAGTGTATCTCAACAAGACAATCAAAATATTTTCGGTCCTGCTGYCGTGAGCCTCTCACAGGGGCCGATCACCAAATCTAAAAATCCTCTGCAGCAAAGCAKAAGAGCTTTACACACAGCCAGACCTCTCAGATGCCATGGGCTAGGATACCCTGTTATAAGGCTGTAAAACTATGGCCCGTGGCTCGGGTCCAGCCTGCAGAGTAATTTAATCTAACTCACAAAGAAATGAGGAAAATGGCCTCTGCTGTGCTGATTCAGCAGTGCTGGAAGCCGTGCCACCCTCTATCAGCTYGTAAGAGAGTGCTTTGTCCACGCTGCCAACTCTGTGTAGAGCAACTACTGGGCAGAAGAAAGGACCAGCAGGAATATTATGTGCCAGATTTTCGGTAGATGTAAGTCAGAACACTTCCAGTGACTTAAGGAGCTGCACCGATTTACATCATTTCAGGATTATAAGGATTTACATCCACTGGAAGTTTCGCTTCTCTTTTTTTTTGTCTTTTAATTAAAAGAATGGTGTAGACTTGGCAGCAGTAYGAGCCTTCAAGAGAATAAGATTTGGGAAGGATCCTGCAAAAGTTTCAGGCACAGGGAATGGCAATAAGCCATTTTTAGTTTAAAAAGATACAGTGGCCAAATTGAAATTCACAGGATGTACATAAATTCTGATCCATACATGAGCAATATACAGAAGCATACATTTTCACTCTTTACACTGGAGCTCCCTAAATATAACAATGGCAAAAGAACAGCAAAAAATGAAAACTTTGTTCATTCAATCTGGTTATATATCACGAAAAACTATCAACACAGATGTTATCCCTATTTATGAGTCACAACCAGTGCCAAAATAAATGCCATGTATTACTTAATTTCTTTCTCCCAACTGCAAGTGCCAAAAAAAAAGACTGCCACTGAGATTAGGAATAACACAAAAGTGGAAAAAAACAGGGGGTGCTGCTCCTGAGGAAGCAATCCAACTGGGCAAAGTTCGGTTTGCACTGATTTCCAAATAAATTCAGAATAAGTGCAACACAGATTGTGACCTCAGAGCAGTTTCTGTTGCTCATCTGCTCACCTCTCACAAGAAGATCCATCATAGAAGTATGAAAATCTGCCTAAACCTCACTTGTTTCCTATGGATGAGCCTGACAGGGAGAGAACAGAAGGAAAGTGAGAATTTGGTGCCTGAGATCCTTAACTGGGGCCAGATTGATGCTTTGAGAGTGAAAGTGAGCAGTACCTGTAGGGATKGCCACAGGGAGAAGGACACAGCTGCTCTCAGAGCCATTTCTGTGGCACASTGACCCACTCCCAGGCCAGCTGAGCCTTCAGAAACACTCAAAAACAGGCTGATAAATAATCAAGCCACTGTTACCATTGCAGTTCAGCTGATGTGTTGCACAAGAACTCAAAAATAAACTGTTTCAAAAGCCACCTCAGGAAAAAAAACAAACCCCTTAAGCCAAAATGYCTCTGTAGTGAAGAAGTGCAGCCTCATTCCATCCAGTCTTTTTCACTGCTCACCTCTGAACAGGTCAGTTTTAAATCTCCTTCTTCCCATGAATCCAATTTAAATGTGTTCTTCAAAGGCTTCTGCAATTTTAGGAGTATTAAATTTTATACCTCCTAAGCTATTTATTAGCCAAGGAAGTACTTAATTGACATTCACCAGATATTAACTTTTTTGAGCATGTGGTACAGATTTTGATATATAACCCAGAGGTTTTTTTCTTTACTTTTTGCTGTTGGATTTGTTGGTTTGGTTTTTTTTGGTTTTTCCTTTTTCAAGACAGTTCTCCTAACAAAAGGTTTCTCAGTGTGTGGATTCCCTACAAATGTCTCCTGGAAATGCAGACAGATATACTGCAATAAAAGACTGCTCACAAGGGACCCTGATGCAGATGAAAGGTCAAAAAACCACTCAGACTGTTAATAAACTGTTGCAGAAATATTGTCTTTAGGTCTCCATAATTTCCACCAGTTCTGGCAGTGTCTAGACCCAACATGAACCCTGGCCCAGCAGTTTTGTGGGGCACCCAGAGCTCCAGGCACCCACATCTCTTCTTCCTACCCACCCTTATTTTAATTTTCCCTTTTTTTTTTCTTCCAGAATAGCCCCACTCCACAGATGTTGAACTCTCCCTGTTCCAGGTGCATTGCCAAAGGACACAAGTGCTGATTAACAGAATTTGCTTCATCATCAGCTCTTGCAGGCAAGGAGAGGTGCTCTCTCTGTTATTGCACAGGTAAAATTGGCTACACCACTGCTGCTCTTTAACAGGATAACATGATGTCTCAATTCACAGCAAAAAGGGAAAATAAGACTTTTTTAAATTGAAAATGCTAGGAGAATTCATTCTGGTAAAACACTCCATCTGCAGTGATCTCTGCCAAACACCACAGTTAGTTCAGAACTCACAGGAACTCCCACAAAGCCACGTTTGGTGACCAGGGTGGGATTAAACCTCTGCTAACACCAACCCTGATATTTCTTACTGCCCATTGCCCACAAAATCCATYTGTGRGGGCTTYMTAGAATTGTTTMGGTTGGAAAAACCCTCTAAGATCATCAGCCTTTCCCCCAGCACTGCCAAGGCCACCACCAGCCCACGTCCCCAAGTGCCACATCCACAATCTGTTAAATCCCCCAGGGATGGTGACTCCACCACYGCCCTGGGCAGCTGTGCCAATGTTTAAAAACCTCTTTARTGAAGAAATTTTCTACTGCCCAGCCCAAACCTCCTCATTTTCTTCTCATCAGGAGGTCTCAAAATCACCCAACACGCTTTGGAGTAGCTTTGTTAGCATATACAGCAACCAGCTTTTTAACTTTGAATTTCTCTTATAGCTGAGACTTCAGGCAAACAAAAGAAAAAAAGAAAAATCTTTCAGTAAACTTTRCACAGAGATAATCAATCTACTATTCAGGTATTTGAACAGGCATCTAGAGTTCAGTGTTCCAGAGATCACTGAACTTCTCCTGATCAGGGTCTCTTCTCRTGGTTTGAAAAGAGGATGGGGAAATCTTTGGGTGCAATCCAAACATTTTTGATAGTTGCAATCCTTGAATATTTCMTCACTCCAAATCTTGCCTTGACCTTTAGTTTCTCCTTCATCCAATCAACTGTACACATATTTTTGTTCATCCTTAACCTGTCCTTTCTCTCCCCAGGCAAAGGAAAAATCCAAACATCATGAAAAATCCTTTTTTTTTGTAATGCCATTTACCCACTTTTTTTTTTTTTTATCCTCTACAGAGATCCAAAAGCATTTAGTCAACTCAAAAATGCCCAGAAGCCCATAAAAAGGTAAATAAGTGAAAGTCTAATTTCCACAATAATTCAGGCACAAAATAAAAAAAAAATATTTAAGGCTTATGGAGAGGAGCAAAACAGTTGCCTTCCATGTGYAATTGTGTAAACCTGTTTGGAAGGAGCAAAGCAACATCAGACTCCTAAAAGACAAAGGGCAGGGCACACTGGTGTGAAACAATGATTTTTTCTGACTCTCCAGGGAAGGACTTTCACTGGGAGAAAAACTCTGGAAATTCTCTATCCCAGCTCTTTTTCCTCTCTAAACTGAGATGCTCCAGAAGGAGATTTTAGCAGGGGGAGTCTCTTCCTCCAGCACAGGGAGCAGCAGGCATCTGCCTTYCCTCAGTTACCAAAACACACAGGCGTGATGGGCAAAGTTAAACAGAGATAATAAACACTAAAATACTGCAGTGTGGGCTAGGCCTCCCAAAAAGCACTGTGAATAATTCAGATCTATAAAAACAGGCAGCTGGCTTGTGTAGGGTGAACACCTTGCTTTCCACACCTTACAAGATGAGCTGGGAAATGGGAACACAGCCAGGGTAGAAATCCCCACCATCAGTGGAAATAGATGATACCACAGAGTCCAAACTCCACACAAAAGTACAACGCTCCCAGTTACTACTTTAGATTTAATTTAATCCTGTTCTTTCAGCTCGTATTGGGATTAGTAACTGCTCTGTCAATAAAAATGTCTTTTACTGAGCAGGCCTCCAGCATCCTGAGGGAAGTCAAACTGGAAGTCTTGTCCTGTAGCCTGGACATGCCTTTGGTCCAGCAGGTGAGTTGGGGTATTTAAATAATCCAACTGGGCAGAGAATTTCAGCAGCCCTTCCCCTCCAACAGCAACAGCAATTTATTTAAATTCCATGGACCTAGCCTRGGCTTTTAATGTGGAATGTCTCTAGATGGTGAAAAATCCAAAGTCCCAGAGTTTTTAATCCTCATAAAAGTCAGGAAAAGTACTGAAAACTGAAGACATTTGGAATTGTGTTCCTACAGATCCCGGACAGACAACACCAAGACATTTAAGGCTCAGTTTACCAAGCCACCATTYCAATTTTAGTTATTGAAATAACTTTACCCAGAGCATGTTTTGATGGTTCATGGTCAGAGCAGAAGGCTCTATCACATGGGATCTGCCACAGCCTCTTTTGAACTGAGTTTGTTTAATTCCTTTATTAACAGAAAAGATAAAGGACAGCAGCATATGCTTGTTACATCTGCAAACCATCCACAAGCAGCAATGCTGCTGGATGTTGAGATTAGAATTCAAAACAATCCAAACCAGTTAGATAAGGCTGATGATCAAAAAAAAAAAAAAAAGAAAAAGATGTAATTCAACAGAAGAGGAGCAAGGTAACACGATTCAGCAGGATTAATCAACTACACATACACAAAATGACTGGGTAGGTAGCAGTTCATCAAAAAACGATGTGGGAGGTTATACTGGATCACAAGCTGAACATGAGTCAACAGTATCATACTGTTAAGAAAAAAAGCAATCATCACATTAGATAAATCAACTGGAGTATTGCCTGCAAAAGAGRTAAAGCAATATTCCCTGTCTGGTGAGCACTGTGAGACTTGGCTGGCAGTGTCACATCAACGTGGAGCAGCAAAGATGAGGGCWCAGAGGAGGGAGCCAGGCACGACATGGAAAGGAGCAAAGGAGAGGTTCAGCCTCCAGAAGCTGAAAAATAAAATTTTCAAGTGTGTTGGAGGGAGAAAAACATAAATAAGCAACTGTTTTCTGTGTCCATAACAAATACAAAGGGGTTTAAATTGCATCAAGAGAGCTCCAGCTGACACACAGAGGAAGCAAAGGGAAGTCATGGAATGTATGGGAAGAAATCCTCCTGAGCTCCTCCAGCCCTGGCTCTGAGTCCATCAAACAGCAGCAGAAAGGTCCAGGTGACACCACAGCAGCTCTCAGTAAAATCAGTGAGACTGAGGGAACTGTGGCATTCCTGCAGTTACCTGTTCATCCCCACTGCCCACATCAGGAACAAACAGGTTTTTAAATTTTATACTTTAAACTAGTCCTGACTTGCACTTTATCACTTGTGGCAATTCCCTCATTTTCCATTTCCTTCATTTTCCCAAGCTTGTATGTTTTTCCTTCATATACCCGTAATTCCAATCTGTTTTTCTTGCCACATGGTGAAGGAGCAGACATTTGTTTCACTGACCTGCCTTTTATGATTCTCTAGACATGAACTGACAGAGGGAGTTGATATTCAGCTTTGTAGGAAACAGTTCTTGCAATCCTGACTGTCTTTGGAAAACAGCTAYAGTCATAATTATTTTAAAGACAATTTCATTTAATAAGGATTGAAATTACKACAAGACAAGCTCAATGTAACAAAATTTTAGATAGAAAGTAATTTTTGTGACTAACCTATGAACTGCTAGGAAATTGTGATTTATAATAGGCACAGTAATAGCCTTTAATGACTGCAGTGCTTCTGGCTATCCATGAAACAGACTGGCTCGTTTCAAAGCAGAAAGGGCATCTATTTTGTTTTTTTYCTCCTTCATGGGTGGCCCATGGATATCTTCAGGGTCCTCGGAGGAGCTTCCAACACCCCACTGTGCACAGCACAGAGCGGCTGCCATTGCCATGCTGATGTTAATGGGCTGCAGTTGATGTGACCCCTTGCTGAATTCCTGCCACTGCCTCTCTGCTACAGAACAAGCAGCAGCAAAGTAGAGAGTGCACAGCCAAAACAAAAAAAAATTAAAATTTTATATTGGAAGGGAGCAGGAAATGGGAATGTGGATGCTGGAGCCTGGGGTCACGAGGCACGGGGCAGCAGGAGMGGCTCAAAGTYGCTGTTCCCAACGACAGCRCAGCCCATATGCCAGAACATTTGCCACTTCTCTCTCCCTCTGTGCAACTGCRAGCCAAAATTAATAAATAAATTAGGGATAATGAATATAAACAAGACAAATCGCAAGCCTGTGGCAAAAAGAAATCTTGTTGAACATAAGTATGTTTCATGTCACAGAGAACTTGCTTAAGAAACAAAACATTCTCCTGAAACAAGTGAAGTAGTGACAAATATTTTGGGAAAACAGAAACTCCACACACTGTCTTTTATGCTCCTAAAAATAAAGAGGAAACATAGTGTTTTTTCAATATAAGTGCAACATTTCCTCATGCCAGGAGACAAACTATGCCTAGGTTAAGGCTGGACTTTAATGGAAGCAAACAGCTGAATGCTGGTCCCTGGTGGTTCAATTATTCTCTCTTTAAAGGTAGCGCTTCCAAGAAATTAGAGAAACACCGTTTCCCAGTAAGGATCATGTTTTGCAGGCTGTTGCAATGTTTTTATTTGAAGCTGTTTGATTTGTATTTGCAGGAAAGCTCAGCTGATCCCTCTGCCTTCTCATCTCCTCACCTGCCAAGTGGGGTCAGAGCCCAGTGAGGCTGCAGAGCTGCTTGCTCAGCACAGGGTGGACCAGAGCAGGCTCCAGGACCATCCAGTTGGGTTCCAAGTGTCYCCATCAACAGGGACTTCATGGCATCTCTGAGAAACCTCCTGCAGTGTCTGACAACCCTCAGCATGAAGAACATCCTACCTCGAAACAACTTACAAGAGATGGTCTCCATASTGAATCCTTATGTTAAAAAAAAGAGGTATTTCAATAAAGCTTTTATGTATTTTGCTTCTTTTTAAACAAAAATTGTGCTAGTAAAAGTCCTAGTGTGGTATCAATTACATTTTATCCATGAAGTTTCTTCCCATGTTTAGGTCCTGCATTTCAGTGTTTGTGCCCATTTTCTTCTGTCCTTCCTTGGTGCACCTCATCCCAACTCTCACAAGGAATTCACACACCATGATAAAGTCTCCCCCACAGGACTTCTTTTCTCCAGGCTAAACAATCCCAGCGCTCTCCATCTCTCCTTTCAGAAATACTAATAAATAAACATTAAAAGAAAATATAAAAACCGATATATCCACAGCATCCCATGCAGTAAAAAAAAACCCTGGCCAAGGACACTTCTGGGTTTTACCCAGAAAAGCAACCCTGGAGGTGATGAGGGCACAAAAAGGAAAATCGAATGTGAAGCCAAATCCTCTCCAGAACATTTGGCTGGGGCACAAAAGGTTTGCCTACACAAAAACGGATACAGATCAATTCCACTGAGCCTGCAGAGATTCCTCCTGCACTGCTCCACATCAGGATCTGGAGAAATCTGTCTGGAGTCACTGGCACAGGTCCATCTCAACCCCCTCATCAAACCACTCAAAGTTGCAGTTCCCAAAGTACTGATTTCTGCTTTTCAAACACCACTTTCTGCTCTTAGTTCTTMCTATTTCCATTTGCCTGAAAATAAAAAATTCTGCTTGATACAGCGATGGCACTAATTCTGAATATACCAGTAACCTCAAATCAAACAGAAACTCCCTTCTTTCCCTATGTTACTCAAATTCATTCGATGAGAAACATTAAGAAGCAGATTTCCAATGAAATCCTATCCTCTGTAGTTTTAATCTCTTCTTGCCCTTCAAATAAGACTTTTAAGTATTATCTATATTGCTAAAATATTCTATGAGCTGTGCACATGGCCCATGCTGCTGTCGAACCAAGTGCTTCACCAGTTTTGAGTCTGCCATGAAATAAGCTCACTCTAAAAAAAAATTAAACTCATTTCCAGGGCAGAAATTAAGGCAGAAGGAGGCCTGCACATAAATATCAATGAAATTAGGCAATGAGAACTGGCATTAGGTCAATGAAAATTAAGCAAGAAAATATTTCACTGCTAGAATAAATAAGTTTCAATTGCCACATGCAAAAACCGTAATTTCCAGAATGCTTTCAGYATCTGCTCTGTGAGATCACAGCTCATGAGCTCTGTCAGTGACTGTCAATTCCTGTACACAGAACTGACTTTGAAATTAGCATTTTCTAACCTTAAAAGACCTACCATGATCAGCTTAAGAGTTCAAAACAACAGGTATTTCACAATAAAGAACTAATTGATACTGTTCCAGACACGGCTTATTTCCTAAAAGCCTAAGCATAAATAAAGAAATGAATAAATTATTCAACAGAAATTGTTGCTTCATTTTCTTCCTTAATACCTATTTAGAGTGCCTAATTTGAAGCAGCACAATTCTTTAAGAGACAAATCCCTGAAAAAAAGAGAGAAGCTTCAAGTCTGTTGTTGGAGAAGCAGATTTATTCAGATAAAAATCAGTTAACTCCCCAGAATGCAGAAAAAAGTAATTTTGCTTGGGTTTGAGGAATTTGGTTCAAAGCTCTGAACTAGAAAGCAATATATACAGTTATTAAACAGTGTAAGGGGATTAACTCTACAGAGTGTTATTGACTACTCCAGTCTCATTAACTGCAGTTTTATTTAGATAAAAATGTCATCTTAAACATCATTTTTGTGTCAGAAGTTAGATCTGAAGAACAACATTAAAAATACATGGGCATCAGCAGCTCCCCGATCTGCAGCAGCTCTTTCTGGGGTCTCCCCTGGAACTCGTGATGGAAATTATGGTTTTGATTTGCAACATGCCCATCATGAGAAACTGCTTTTAAAAGGAGTTGTCCTGCGGAACATGAGAAGTGTTTTCTGAGAGGCAGCTTCACTGGAGCATGTACAAGCTGAGCACAGAGGGCTGATGCCTGTCTGCCTCTCTTTCCTCCAAGAAAGGAAGGAAGAAAGGTTAGGGAAAGAGTTCTGGGCTCCCAGTGGACGTTCTCCTACTTTCTGATTTTATTAGGGAACTGTGAAGCTAATTACGTGTACAGTAACTTCGGTAACTGCTTTTCATGCAGAATCACAGACCAGAAAATAATGAAATCGTGAATGGGAAAGCCTCTCTGCTTTTTCAATCCACAGCAGCTTGGAGAAGGCACTGGCTATTCCAAGGGGGCTGCAGCAGAGCTGCTGCAAGCTCAACAACCCCACCAAACACCAAAACCAATCCTCAGGCTCTTCCCTTCCAAAAGCACCCACWGGACACACCAAGGGGCATTTGGAAGCCMMMRGGRWYCC